GCAGAGATTTCATGTACCAAATTTCAGCCTAGATTGAATTTTCTGCATGGGAGAGATACCCTGTAAATGGAGCCACTGGCATCATCTTGTGTGTAAGGTAACGAGCGTGATGAGCTGCAACACGAGCTGAGGTCTACAGACTGTTCATAGAGCACAGCCAAAACCCTCTCCACTCTTGAGCTAGGTTGTTCTCCAAAAGCAACAAGTCCTACTTGTCTTTTCGGAAAGCTGTCATGGAGCTGTGAAACCTGTGGTTTACATTTAAGATTCCTCTGCACCCTCAGCCTAGGAACACTTTACAGTTCCCTTGGAATTTGATAAAAGTTTCCTAACTTTGAAGTTAGAGGAGTTTCTCATTTCTGATCAGGCAATGTGAATTCCTTTTTTTTTTTTTTTTTTTTTTTTTGGCTCATTTCACGATGCCAGAAAAGTCATATATGGTTCCGTGTTTGGAGACTAGCACAAGGCCTAAGAGCCTCAAGGTCCTGCCTGGTTTAGAAAGCACATCAGCAGACATCAGTTGCTCCTGAGTGTGTGACTCCCAGCTTCCTGAGTTCTTCATTCTTTAAACTTCCTCCCTCTCTCCCTCCCTCCCTCCCTCCCTCCCTCCCTCCCTCCCTCCCTCCCTCCCTCCCTCCCTCCCTCCTTTCCTTCCATCACACATACCGTTCATTGTATTTTTTTTTTGTTTTTGTTTTTGTTTTTTTTACGAGACAGGGTTTCTCTGTATTGTTCTGGAGGCTATCAGTCCAGCCCGGCCTCGAATCATTGTATTTTAATACTTAAAAACTGCAGTGAAATACACACAAAACTGGCCATTTTAGTGAGGCAGCTCAGTGGCCCTTAAGCCACTGAAATATTGTGCACCCGTCTCTACCCCTGCAGTTTCTCATCCTCACACACTGAAACTTTATATGACTGGATATACATTGAATAGCTTCATTTCTATTTGCCCTCAACTCCTAGTCACTATGATTGTAGCTTTCTATCTCTCCTTTAAAATATTTATTATGTGTAAGTGTTTTGCTGGTATGTATGTCTGTGTACTATGTACATGCAGTGCCCATGGAAGATGGAAGAGCTGCAGACAGCTCTGAGCCACCGTGTAGACGCTGGAATTGAACCTGGGTCCTCTGGAAGAGCAGCCAGTGCTCTTGACCACTGAGCCATCTCTCCAGTCCCAATTATCTACCTCTTCAAATTGACTATTCTGGGTACCAAATGCCTTTGGAATCGTACAATATTTGTCCTATTGTGACTGGTTCACTTTCATTTAATATACTCTCTTCAAGATTCACCTATGTTGTAGAATGTATAAATTTATTCATTTTTAAGGCTGAATAATATTCTTTGGTATGTGTAAACTACAGTTTGCTTGGCATTCATGCACTGTGGACACTAGGTTGCTTCCATCGAAGGCTCTTGTGAATCATGCTTCTATAAACACAGATGCTTTGAGTCATTGTCTTTACTTAAAGGAGGGTAGATAAAATAGTTTGCAAAGTTAATAAATATGAGTGAAATGTAGGGGAAGGAGCAGAGGAATAGAATTCGGAATTGTATGTTAGGCCGATTAGAAACAGGAGACATGGGGGCACAAAATTCTAGAAAGGAAAAGGTTGATTTTGATTTTGGTCTTTTTGACTCCCAGGTGCTGGTGAGAATTTTTAAGATGTGACATGCAGAGGCAGGTTTAAATGTAGGTTTGTGTCAACGGTAAGGGTTGAGGTTACTCTTAATAACCTCCTTCTGAGACTAGGCAGCCTGAAGGACTTCTCTGCTGTGAAGACTGAGCCAGACCACCTCTGCCTTTCTTATGTTACTTAACTGAGATGTTTTGTCCCAATAGTGAGAGAAGTAACTGATGTACATGGATTATTCTTCACGGTATAATTGGAAACAAAAACTTCAGAGCATCAAATGCATGTCTGGAAATAAGATTAAGTGAAGTTACACTAATGAAGTTACAGGGTTCTAGTCGATGCTTCAGTCAAGAAGTAGTGAGAATAAAGAGAACATATTGACTTTCTGGAATCCTGTTTTATGTTATAAACTTCTATGGTAGTTTTCAAATAAGTCATTCCTTTAGATATTATTCTCTAATTTTTCATCACTGCCAGACAGAACTACTAGTTGATGTAACTATGACAGGAGCTAAATTTTTGTTGTTGTCAAGTTAACATTGTGTCTCCTATAATTCAGTTGCTGTTACTCAAAGGGAGATGTCCACTGTCTGATTATTCAGCACTTGCTTTGGAAGCAGCAGAGGGCCCATGCAGGACTGGAGATCAAAGATTTATTAGATTGAGTGTCACCAAGGTTGCTTCTGATGACATTACAGCAGCAGCATGTTCATCTGCTTTCCCATGGCAGGTTGTTGGATCTTGGTTTAATAGCTGAAGCTTTGTATAATTACAAAGAAGTCAGAAATCCTACTGGTCTCAAGTGCGATTGTTTACAGTTGGACTGCTAGCAAGGAAGTGTTAAGTTTGATTGTGCTAAAGCCGGGCCAGACCCAGTGAAGTCTCATGGAGCCCTATCATCTGACCCTTCGTTGGACTGCCAAGGTGTATGTTGTCAAGGTGTTAATGCCCTGAACACAGCTGAGACAACTTGACTTTTCCTTCTGAACAGGGGATATTTTCCTCTTGGAAATGTCAAAGGAGTGTATTATTAGGGCCTCAGAGCCAGGATGTGGGTAGAATGGGCAGCAAGGGTTTCCTAAATTCTGCTCATTAAGCTTGGGATGGGATTGCCTTGGTTGTTCTATTCACTTACAGAATCCGGCCTGTGCTTAGTGTGAAGGAGAGCCTCAGTAAGAACCATCTCTGTTTTCAGCAGGACGTGGAGCGGTGTCTGCACGCATGCAGTGCCGTGGGTGGCCAAACGCACTCGAGTGTTTGCAGTCACTGTCCCTTGGGAAGGGACATAACATACTGTTTTGTTGTGTGTACTGCTTTGATAGTAATATCATATTATTTAGATATTAACTTTCTCCTTGAAAAGCTTTTAGTCCTTTCTGGTTACTCCTCCCGGTTACTCCTAACCTCCAGTTACTCCTAACCTCCAGTTACTCCTAACCTCCAGTTACTCCTAACCTCCAGTTACTTTCCTTTTTGCTTTACTTTAGTTGCTTTTTTCATGAATTGGACAGTTTTCTTCAGGAGACTGTTTTCCACTTGAAAGTTGGACTATACATTCCCCCAAATGATGATTATAACTGAGGACTTTAAAAAGTTAAGTTAGTAAGACAAGGAGACTGTTTTTCAGGTTATCTGAGGAGCTCAAGTATATTATTTTGAATCTGTGGTTTTTATTGAGTTTGAAAAGTTTCCCTTGACAGAGAACTTTTTGAGACCAGGAAATGTTGCAGCTAGCTTGGTGGAATCCTAGGCCAAGTATTGCTGTGTTAGCTAAGGAGAACATGGAAAGTGTCATGTTATCTGGGTGCATGGAGGCAGTTCTGCTGGAGATCCAGTCCTTTCCCAGACAGCTGCTCAGCAAAGAAGAAAATGAAGGAAACTCTAAATGAGCAAATCACATAGACTTGAGTTCAGTGTCCTTACATAGTAGCAGAGTAGATTCATAGCTACAGACCAAGGAAAGGTATAAGTAGGGGTAGGAGGTGGGAGTGGGGGATGGATGAAAGGCCCCATCATGCATTTCAAAAGAGCTGCTACAATGTTAATAGATACATGAAAAGTTATTTAACCAACTCACAAAGAATGTAAATTAGAGCAGAACTTGTTTCTCATTAGTCATTTTGTCAAAACAGTACAAGTTTGGTAATAACTGCTGTTTGAGTAAATAAGAAATGGGAGTTATCTACTGATGAACATGTAAATTGATACCAGGAGAGCAGTTTAACTATATGAGAAACCTTAAAAGTGAGCCCTATGAGTCACTTCAAACTGGATAATCTTCTGCTAAGAATCTTTATCCTAAAGAATTCTGTGCCTTGGTGTTAACTTATAAGTGTGTTCATGCACTTTGTTCCAAATACATAGAGATGGCAGGTCTAAGACGTTAAAGGAATAAACAAAGACAAAGTCATAGTGATATTTGTAAACAGGATGGCATTATGCCCTTGAAGGAGCTAACCAGAATGTGTAGTCAGCTGGATTAAAGCCTTGATCCTGCAGAGCCTCTGGATGTTGACACAAAAAGTTGAATGAGAATAGAATAGACTAACCTCCTGGAGCTTGGCAGTGACGTTTCACCTTTTGTAAAGGGTGATTAAAAGAAGTCCCCTGATCCTAGGAGGGCAATAGTTTATTTTGATCTGTGAGTCTTTAGAAGCAGAAGGGAGCTCTGTCTTCCATGAGTGGAATCAGGGTGGGAAATCAGGGGTAAGGGATGAGATTATGTTGCTGTGTAGGTCCATCATACAAAGCTTGGTCCTGGATACTGGGCATTCTGGGAAAGGTAAGACAGAGCTTCTATGGATCCACAGGTGACCGCAGGTGGAGCGAGCCACCAAGGAGAAAAAAAGCCTTCAAAATACAGTTCCATTAACAATTGAAAGTAAGTAATTAGAGCAACATGTAACAAAACCAACAAGAACAAAAGTTATGCCTTGTGAGATTAATATATTATATGGACAAATCAAAGGCTAAAAGATACACATGTTCTGTTGTTTTAAGGGATAAAGGTGTTAATTACATCATTGATAAAAAGAAAAGCCTAGGAACTTTGCTCCAGTCTGCTGCCCAGCCTTCATGGCCTTCTGTACCACTGAAAGAAGAAAGGTGAGTGGATCTAAAAGTAAGAAGGGAAGGAAGAAACGCCAACAAGCCCTGCCAGGTGGGAAAGTCCCAGACCAGAAACAGAAACACCTCACCTACAAACCATGAATTCCCTAAGAACAGTCATGAATGAAAATAAGCTGCAGGAACTGCCAAAGAATTCACAAAAGTGTTTACAACTGTGCTCAGTTAGCTCAAAGAAGATGTGAATCTGAATTAGACAACAATGTCACTTTAATATAGACAAACAGCTTAATACTCACCTGGCAGGGGAGAGACCATGATAACAAAGGTGGTTTTCCCAGGGTGAGGCTTATTATCCATTGCACTCCGGATGTGCTGACCACTGCGATTTCCCCAAAAGCAGGAAACACGACTGCATAATTTGTGGTAGTGGGGACTGCATTCATGGTCTCCTCTGTAAAAACAAACAAACAAACAAACAAAACCCAAAGACCTATAATCCTAGGAAACAGTGCTGCAGTGTTGAAAAGAGCAACTGGATAAGTTAAACCTTCTTCTTCTTCTTTTTTTTTCCCCCGAGTCAGGGTCTCTCTATATTGCTTTGGAGGCTGTCCCGGAACTCTCTCTGTAGACCAGGCTGGCCTCGAACTCACAGAGATCCACCTGCCTCTGCCTCCTGAGTGCTGGGATTAAAGGAGTGCGCCACCAACACCTGGCAAGTTAAACCTTCTTACAATAAAATAAAAATCTAAACTGTAAATATTTGGAAATTTCAGCTACATGAAAAAGAACTGGTTATAAGTTTTGGAAATGAAAAACATTGTCATAGAAGTACATTGTTGACTTTGAGACAGAATCTTGCTGTAGTTCAGCCTGACTTTGAATTTATGATATGCCTGCCTCAGCTCTGGTGCTGGGATTACAGGTGTAACCACCATATTTATCTGTCAGAATAAACTTCACAGATGAGGTGAATGCTAGACTTAGCGCATATACAAGGAAAATGATGAGTTGAAAGAGTACTGAGAAATTCACATAGCCTTTAGCTTAAAAGAGACCCTTAAAAGAGGGTTAAGAAAAGAAAGGGCAGATATGAAGGCTAGATGGGGAGGTTTCAATTTATGTTTAACTTTAGGACATAAGGTATATAGTGGAAAATATCCCTAAATACAAGATAAAGAGGAAACCAAAAGGTACGTCCTATAGATCTGTGTATGTGTTTGCATGCAAGTTTATGTACATGCACATGTGGAGGGCAGAGGTCAACATCTGCGTTCCTTGGTTGTTCCTTACCTTGTTCTTTTAGACAGGGTCTCTCACTGAACCTGGATCTGTTGATTTGGCTAGACAGGCTGACCAATGAGTTCCTGAGAGCCTCCTGTCTTTGCTTTCCCAACATTATACATGGGAAATCCCAGGATTACAGGTGTTCATTGCCAAGAATGGCTTTCACATGGGTCCAGTGTGTGTGTCTGAACTCAAGCCTTCTTGCTTGTAGGGCAAAAACATCACTGACTGATATATCTCACTAGCCTAAATGTAATTTTTAATTAAATTTTATTTATTTTTATGTGTATGTTTAGCCTGTATGTATGTCTGTGCATCATGTATATGCCTAGTACCTGTGGAGGCCAGAAGAGGGCATCTGATTCCCTGCAACTCGAGTTACAGATGATTGTGAACCACCACATGGGTGCTGAGAACTGAGCCAGGGTTCTCTGGAAGGGTACCCAGGGCTCTTAACCACTGAGTCATCTTTTCAGCCCCCTAATGTGATTATTTATTAAATGAAAAAATAAAAAGGAAGGATATGACTGCTCCTAGGTATTGTAGAGGAGAAAGTTTATTGTAGTTAAAAGGGAGAGCGAGCCATAGGCAGAGACATCTGAGTCATGAGAGGGGAGGGTAAAGGGAACAGGAGAGGAGCCACCAACCTAGAAGGTGACTTGGGCCAAGAGAATAGAAGAAAGAGACCAGGAACCAAAATGATTAGATTATGTGGGACAGGGCAGATCATCCCTTGAGCCAGAGAAGTTTAGAGTAGGGGAAGGAGTATTCCAGCCATACCCTGTAACAGGTCAGGATTGAGGGATGCTGGGAGAACTTGGTGGCCAGGTCCACTTTGATATGTTAAAACATTTATCTGCTTAGATTTACTTCCATTTTGCTATTTGTTCTTTGTTTTCTGTTCTTTCTTTCCTTTTTTTCTTCTCTCTCTCCTTCCTCCTTCCTTTCTTTCCTCCTCTTCCTCTTCCCTTTTTTTTCCTAAGGACTTTTATGTTCTTTTCACATTGTCCCCTACCTCTCTGCCCTTGTTTTAACGTCGCTAATATCCATCTTCATCCTAGTAGGATCTCTTGGAGTAGCATTTCGCACTTCGAATATGAGATTCTTACAAGAATATACATGTATCTGCTGGTGGGCCTTTGTAATGTTATCATATATTTGCCCATGTTGTTGCCATGTCTGATATTTTTCAGTTTTTCATGTAGATCTTGTTTTTGATGTTATTTAAAGTATTTCTCATCTTCATTAAGTGAATCATTGAGGATTCTTGGAATCAGTTTGGTCCTTGGAAGGGCTTGCTCTTGAGGCTTGTCAGGAAGAAGGGAGTGGCATGTATTTGAGGGTTAATTGTCCTGTGGTGAAAGCCTTGTGAGTGTTCTTGGTGTTTTGTGAATCACAAGGTTTTTCTTTTGTGCTTAGTTTTAAGTCTAGACCTGTTAGAGCAGGGCGGTCCTCCAAGTTCAGGAACAGCTTTAGTTTTAAAGGTTGAAAAGTAGGTTTAATTTTCACTAAAAATTAAAAGTATTGTGTTTTATATGATCCCTTATTTTAAAAATTAAAAAGGTTTTGCAAGACATAATTTTTCTTGCCTTGAGAAGGTGTGGCCTGTGGTGAGACTGACCGTGTGTAGTGCTCGGGAAGTAGTCTCAGTGTGTGACCCATGGCTGCTCACGTCACAACTTTGCATGGGCCTTGCTTTCTTCCTGTGTTCCAAGCCTTTGCAAGTTTCCTTGTTTTAAACCCTAGATGACCATTATAGCACAGCTAGTTAAGCTGTGACACACATACATGTGCACACACATATATAAACTTTTGTGGAAAGTGTTTATGAATTTCTCCTGTATTCTGTCCAGGCAAATTAGTGTCTGGAGTTCTCAAGTAGGATTGATTTATGTTCTAAAGTATAATTAGGTGGATTCATATAGATTCCATTGTTGGTGTTTATAACTATTAAATGCAAATTTTCCAGACACAAGTAAATAAGAATTATGGTTGCCAAGTGTACTGAGTGCTTGCTATGTGCCAAGCGCTGCTCTTAACTATTTGTATGTGTTGCTTCCTTTATGCCCTGCAGGGAGCTGAGCCCCAGATCATACCTTGATTGGAGAACTTGTCTTGGAACTCAGAGTTTGACTCCTGAGCTCATACTCTGTTGTCTAGAACACCCCTCCCCTTCACCTGATTCCCACTTGTCTGCCATCTGCATAGTTCACAAACTGCAGTATTTAACAACGCACATGGTTGATTTTTACTTCTTCATAGCTGCATTGCACAGAAGAAAACCAAGGTTGAAAGAGATTGACTGAGGAGTATATACACCTTGGAGGTTACAAAGTTTGTGTCCCCAAATCTACTTGTCCTGTTTCTTTGTACAGTGCTGCATTTCTGTTGAGAATGAGGGTGGGAATGCAGATGCATTTAAATTTTGAGATGATTCCTTTTCTTTAGGAATATGGGATGTTAAATGTGTTGCCTTTACTTCCTTTGACTGCGCTGCTTCCTACTTTTTGAGAGGCATATTCCTACTCATCCAAACCTTGCTTAAGGACCAGTTCGCTTTCCTACTTGCTTCATCCATCCTTGCAGGACGCATTGCATTTTCATACAGTGGATGTTCATTCATGTTAATATAATTAAATTTTTATTGACCAGCCTAAAATATCATGTATAATTTAAAAACTATAACAGGGAATGCTGGGTTTAGTGGAGTGTACCTCTAATACTAGCACTTGGGAGACTGAGGTAGGAGGATACCTTGGATTTGAGGACACATAGCAAGTTCTAGGCTAGCCTGCCATACTGTGAAACAAACAAGCAAACTAGCAACACACACACACACACACACACACACACACACACACACACACACACACACACACCCCAAATGAAACAACCAAACTAGTACCTGAAAATGAAAATCAGGTGACAACTAGGAGTTGTCAGCAGCATTATCTACTGGGGCTGAAGAGAGAGGTGGGACAAAAAATAGACTCCATTTGTGAGCATATGACACACCCACGCATCATGACTTATAAACCAATTAAGTTTTTTTTTTTTTTTTTGGTGATTTCTGTAAGACTCTCAAACCATGTCTTTGGCAAGATCCATGAGCTCAGACCTCTCAGCTTTCCCAGCAAAGTGGAAGTGTATGCCTACAGTTTCTCATGTGCAACCTCAACCCTTTTATGATTATTAATGTAAGGTGCTGTGTATCCCTTTCCTTGAGGAGCTGTGGAAGTGAGCCTTAGCCTCCCGGGATGGCTAGGGGAGGACTTTTCTGTGACCCTCTTGTCAGATGGGGGAGCCAGGCTCTGAGCCCTTCTGGCCATGAAACATTTGTGAGTAGCTTGATATATTTGTCACAAGTGTGACAGCCAAGAAGCTTGTAAGCAGAGCAGCGTGCTGCAGGGCTCAGCTGTGTGGGCTCTTTGGGGCACCGCTGCTGGCCAGAGCTGGCCCAGTGTGAGACCCTCTGCCTCCAGCCAGCATGTTCTCATGTGCTGTGGTGACTGGCTTGCGTTGGCACAGAGGTATAATGACTTTTTTATTGTTTTATTAATAAGAAAAGATGATCAGGAGTCAGATATTAGGGTAAAACCTGATAGATTCTCAGAGCGACAGAGAAAATGATCAGTGACCCCTACTCTCCCTGATAGAAAAGGATAGCCCATCTCCTTTGGACCCTCCTCATTCCTCTTGTGTGTTCATCTAGTTCCAAGTCAGCCAGAAAACGCTAAGGTCCACTCCTGTCAGCTGAATGTGGGCCCTGCCTTCCAAACCAAGGCCTGATCAATTTCATCAGCACAAACAAATCTCCTGCAACACTGAGGAACCTGCAGAGCTGGTTTCCCTCCTCACCCCAATATGTTAGTCTGTGATCATCCCCAACAAATGCTTCATTGCACGAGGACAGGAGGATGTCTTTCCTAAAACAAGCCCTGAAGCATAAGTTGGTTCTGTAGCAGTGTCCATGTTAAGACTCAGTAGGTAATGTGTTTAAATAAATAGGTGGTAGATAGTATGGTCAATAGGTGATCTACAGTATTGAAAACAAAGGAAGCAGAATATTTTGAATTCCTGCAGAGGAAGGCCATTGCTGTTCTGCTTGATCCATAGTAGGGGCATTCTTGAAGAATTTTATCCTTTGGTACATACAGCTTTTAAATGTCATTAGCCTTACCTATGTCTAGTGTTCTGCTCCTTACCTAAAGCATTAATTACAAACAGTTCCATCCTCTGTTGATGCTTGTTAACCTGTGAGGCAGCCTGTCTTAGATGGAGTATGGAATTCCTCTTGGAAATGTATACCTTATATATGGATTAGCTTCAATGATAGACTCTCAGGGAAAGATTTTTAAGGTGGTATTTTTAAGGTGGAACTCTTGAATTATTCAGTGTTTAATTTTTTGGTGGCATTTATAAATATTGTAGTGCTTTGTGTTTATAAAAAGTTCTCAGAACCATTAAAAAGGATCACAGGGGACTGCAGACTTTCCTGAGCTTCAAATGAAATTGCAGTGCAGGGTTTTGGTTAAGGTAGTGATAGTGTACATAAGTAGGAAAGTGTATATTCATGGAAATATCGTTAGTTCTTTTTATAACTGTAGTAGTGGCTACTACTGAGAGCAAATAAAGCGTTGCCCAATTAGTAAATTAAATGATTTGTGCTATGCTACTATCATAGGTCTTTCCTAATGGTCACCAATCACACCTTAATTAGGAAGTTATTATGGGTAAGAAAATCCCATCCAAGTGGAAGAGTGATCAGATAGTAGAGTCTTGTGCAAATGGAACGTTCTCTTTTCTTTCTTGTAGTTAGATTGCCATTCTCTTTGTGCTATTTATTTTGGATTATAATGCAGAAGGTCTAGAAATTTTGGGTTAAATGGAGATGTTTCCTCTGAACTGCTCTGGTTATGGTGAGTGATGGCTGCTTTCCCAGGGTGAGAGGGGATAATACTCTGGACTGCCATATCTGGTTGAGTGAGTGGTGCACTGGGTAAAGTCTGCCTTCTGGAGTTGCAGGGAATAACACAGTTGTGTCTGCTAAGCCATACTCTCTTGGGTAGGCCTGTACTGGTCTAGAGCAATTACACACCTTCCTGTTCTTACAGTGTTTCATTGCTGCCTAACAATGACACTGGTGATGCGTATTAAAACTTCCACTTTTTATTTGAAAACTACTTCTTTCTGCTATTTTTTCTTCCAGATAATTAATATGCACATCTGTGTGTGTGTGTGCATGCATGCCCTTGTGTGTGCATATGCACATTATACTCATATATGCTGTGTATATGCTACATGCAAACATGGGCTATGTAGATGCCTGAATATAAGAATTGTAAAATCTCATGTTACAATTGCCTGTCCTAATAGTCAGTGCTATATGAAGAAGAATCCATTTCCTGAAGCAGCCTTAGATGATGCTGGATGGACACTTACAAAAAGGTGCTTCATAAAATTGGATGAGAATGCAAAGAGGCTTGCCATACATTTGTGGTGATGTTTTAGAGATGAGAGTTTACTTTTTAAAAGACATTATGTGGGGCTTGAGTGAAGATGGAGTTTCTGTCCTGTCTAGTCCCAAATAAACACACAGAGGCGTAAATTAATTATAAACTGTTTGACTAATGGCTAAGGCTTCTTATTGGCCAGCTCTCAATTATTAGCCCATTTCTATTAAACCATGTATTGCCACCAGACTGTGGCTTATCCATAAAGCTCCAGCGTGTTACTCCTTGGCAGCTACATGGAGTCTCCCTCGTGGTTCTCTTTCTATCTGCCTTTCTCTTCCCAGCATTCTCCTCATCTGGTAGCCCTGCATATACTTCCTGCCTGGCTACTGGTCAATCGGTGTTTCATTAAACTAATAAGAGAAACATATTCACAGCATATAAAAGGACTTCCCTATCATTTCCTTTTTTATCCCTAGATAAAAAGAAAGGTTTTAACTTTAACATTGTATGTATGTATGTATGTATATATGTATGTATATCTCAAAACAGTTATTAAGCAATAACTATAGTTAACAGTATTTAGTCCCTTAACATTTGGCAAAATTTTAAGAAAATATTCTATCATTTATCCTATCTTTGTGAGTCTAAATTTTTATATGTAACTTATCTTTAGTCATAACTAAGGAAAACCATAACCATAATTATCTCTCTTCAACTCCATCAAAGATCCCAGAAGGATACTGTATAAACTTTAGAGTTGGCAGAAACATCTTGCTGCCTGGACATTCCCGAAAGTTTTTCTGTAATATTGGGGCATTCATCTTCATCCCATAGACCATAGTGTCTGACAGGATTTTTAATGAAGTAGGAATTTGAAACTGTCCAACCTGTATTGACAATTTATCAGTCCTTTTTCTCTGTGTCCTGCAGAATGTCTGACAGACTCTTCCATGAAACAGGAACCCTGAAGGACTGTCCTAACTTGTTTTGGCAAATTCAACAGTCACTTAAATATAAATGGAGTTTTTAATTGGTTTAAGTAATAAAAACCCAGAGTCAGATATAGTAGAAAATGCTGAGAGATCAGAAGAAGGAGTAAGCCACAGCCACACCTTAACTCCTTAGTGTCTCAGCAGGCAAGAGCACGAGTTCCTGTTTCCACCCAGCTACCTCACTTCCTGTCTGTCTGTACAGACCTCCAGAACTCTATGGTTAGCTAGTGGCAAGCTCCATTCTCTGACCTTCAGACCGGCTTTGTTTGTACAGCAAGACATCACCACACTGGAGTGATAAGTGATGGTCATGAATGTTTATTGTTTTTCTAGAGCACATAGGTTCAGTTCCCAGCACCCTCATGGCAGGTTATAGCCATCTACAACTCCAGTTCCTGGAGGTCAGACACTCTCTTTTGACCCTTACAGACACCAGACAAGCATGTAATGCATATGCATACGTACATACATATATACATACATGCAGGCAAAACACATGCACAAATGAAACAATCCAAAAGAAGCTCTACTATAAGTGGACACATTCAAATAAGTGTTTACAGGAGGGGTAAGCGTCCCGGCTCCCCCAGTGTTCTGAGAGGAGATGGTTATGCTTTATGTGCTGTCCCAGGGTTGGTATCACAGAGAGCTTAACTGTGTCAGGTTATACGGACAGCAAGATTTATTCTGGAAGATTGTATTGACTGATTCATAGGTCACCTAGGTCATGAGAAAGACCCTGATGGCAAAGATGTAGGAGGAATTAATGAAACTGTCTCATAAAATGTGACAGCAAGCAGACTTATTTTTGAAAGACTGCTTTATACTTCTTACAATTTAAAATGTATATGACTTAGTTGGTATATTTTATAACTGGCCCTTAATTTTTAACTTTAAAGGTTTACACATTCAAGTTCATTAAAATTTTTGTGTGTGTTTCATTGGAAAATAATATATTGTCCTGTATTTGAAGTCACTTTATATTCAGTAATATGTATTCTTTTTTTTTTTTATCAGAAACTGAGGCTCCTTGAGGAGCTTGAAGACACCTGGCTTCCTTACCTGACCCCCAAAGATGATGAGTTCTATCAGCAGGTAAGATGTTTTCGTATTTTTATCAATTTGTAGCCTCATATTTGATCAGTGAAATTGCTAGGGGCACCGAGAGGCCTGATCGCAGGCAGTGCTGAGCCTGCAGAGCACAGCCCTTCCCTCACTGTCTGCTCTCTCTGTGGACTCTTGTCTAGGCACAGCAGGCCATTTTCACTCTCCAGCATCCGTGGTACCTCCCACATCTGCTCATGCTGGCTTTTTGTTTGTTTGTTTGTTTTGTTTTTGTCCTGTACAGAATATAACCTTGTGATGTCATCCTGTTACTTTGTGGCTCCTTTGTGAAGCTTTCGCCACGTTGTCATTCCTCTGTGTAAGGCTGCACCTTGTAAGTGTGCCTGCCTATCCCATTGAATAGTGGTATTGGGATTCTGCATCTTTCACTCTGAATTCTTCAACGCTCTTCCCTTATATCACACACACACACACACACACACACACACACACACATCAAACTCACTCAACTAGGAATGGGGAAGGGGATTTATTACCATCACTCATAAATCTAAAAGCACATTGCCGTTCCCAGCCTCTCAAAAACTGTCCCTGGCCCTTGTTTATGGGTTTATGGGTTTGACATGTCTGTTTGTGAGTTCACACTGAGTTGCCTCTAACCTGATATCCTGGGAGAACTTGGACAACTCAAAGGATATGTGGTCTTCAGTGTCTGAGATTGTAGAAGGAACGAATGGGTTCTTTCCCTCTGGCTCCACAAGATTGTCCAGGCAGTGACTGAGTTAGCCTGGTTAGGGTCACTATGTTTGCCTGGTCTAGTTCATGGACCTCCCTAACTGGGTTCAGTGGGAGAAATCCTACTCAGGCCATTTGGCTGAGTGTGTGGGGGTTAAGATGAATGATGTTGCCAAGGAAAACTTAATTTCTGGTTCCAAAAAAGAGAGAGGTGTACTAGACAAGCAAAATATGGTATAATTTTACCTTTCTCCCCCTATTAGAACATATACTTGAAGTATGGGAATAGCACCTACTCCTCCATAGTATCCTCTACAATTAAGGAAGGGGGTAAAAGGCATTTGCCCACCTGGAATCATCAAGTTTCTGGGCCACTCTCATTTCTAAGACCTTGTCTTCAGCTCTTCACTGCCTTTTGCTTATCAGCACTCCCGGGTCTATGGTTTTCTTCTCTGCCCTGTCTGTCCTTGAAATCATGCCAGCCCCTTGCTGCACATCCACAGTGAACTGTCACTGTTTCACCCCCTTACTCCGTTGTGATTTACCCCTGCTGGATGCTTGCACCACCTCAGAGTAGCGTTGCAGCTTTGCATGTGGGGCCTTCTCCCTCCATCTTCTGTCATCGTGCTCCCTGCCTGCAGAACACCTGTGTGCTGGAGGCTGTTAATAGTTCCTGGGCCATTCCTTAGAAGTTTCCTGACACCTCCTGAGCCCAGAGGCTTGTCTCTGTGCCCTTTCTTCTTTATCTCTATCTTCTCCCCCATTTTTAATAGTATCAGGTAGGTTTGTTTGTTTGTCTTTGTTTTGGCGTGATTCTGGGCATTTGAGTGCAGAGCCTTAAACGTGCCAGGCAAGTGTTGTGCCAATGAACCATAGCCCCAGCCAGCCCTGAGATGATTTCGTTTTTAAATATCCTTCTTTCTCTAATCTTCTGCACTTTTTTTCAGTGCCTGGAACCCATCATGTGCTTAGTTTGCCTGAGTGAATGAATGAGTGATGAATATATTAGCTCTGATTTATTTTTGAGACAGAGTCTTAGTATATAATAGCTCAGGCTGTTTTTAAAACAGAGTATTTATTCATGTGGATGCATATGCGTCTATACAGATGTGTGCAGAGGCCATGGAGACTAGAAGGGGAGGGGCAGAGTTACAGGTGGTTGTGAGCTGCCCAGTGTAGGGACTGAGCTCCTCTGAACGAGCTGCACGTGCTACTGACAGCTGAGCCATCTCCCAGCCCATTTCCCTCAGGCTGGCTTTGAGTTCACATCCTTCAGACTCAGCCTCCACAGGGACAATTACAGGCCCGCGTCATGATGCCTTGTTGCTTTCCAAGTCACTTATATAATGAATCTAGTGTCCTTTGCATTTTGATTTTGCCCACATACACACTCCTCTGGAGATGGCATCTTGAAATAGAGGATTGATTACAGAAAGAGTGTAGCCAGCAGTGATAGGTTGTTCTCATTTTAGCGTATCTGGTTAGCCACGTTAGCCACAGCAAACATGTATGTATTTTGTGATAGAGAGAAAGTAGTTTTGAAAAGCCCCTGTAAAGCAAGCAAAGGCAGTCAGCTATGAGGTGCTTGCTGATACTCCTGCTGTCTCAGTGTAGCTTCCAGCCCTTTCCACTTTAGTGCCTGCTGTGCAAGGGCAACATGAAGAACTAAATGGGAAAGGTTATAGCCTGCTGTGCTCTGCCCAGCCACACACCAGGGGCAGGGGGCGAACAGACCACGCCTCCGGGCTCCTTAACTTCCTAAGGCCCACCCTAAAAGTCACTTATCATTATCTAATCTATATCTGCTAATCAGCCCCAGTGCTTCTGTAACACTCTGGTTTTACAGGCTGTTTTGTGGTGACATACTTACAGACCAGCAATCGCATGGTCGGGGTGGTTGAGCTGGCAGGAAAACATGAGCCCAGGAGTGCAGGGCTGGACCTTCAGCAAACAGAGTGGGATAAAACCAGAAATGAAACAGCGACAAAACAAACGGAGCCAGCTCAGTCTCTTAACGTAAACTAAGAGTGTGTGTGATTATTAGCACATATCACTTGTGTGGATGAGTGGGCCTGTGGTGGTATTCCTGTATGGTGCCCACGGTGACCCTCTGCTCTTGAGGCTGCTTTTCCTCTCCTCCGACACCCTTCCCAGGCTTCACACGCCTCTTAACTTCTTTCTGTCCCTGCTCCGCCTTCTCTTACCTTATCTCTAGAGACTTGTGTTCGGTTCTATTCTGTAAGATTCCTCTTTTTATGGTTATGTAGTGTTCCGTTGTGTGTGTATACAATGTGTTTTCTTTACCCATTTACTGTTAACTGAAAATATTTATAAATGACAGGAATGAATGGTTCAGGTCTGACACTGGGTTCCTTATGCAGGATTATGGTAAAATTTTGATGTCATACACCTACCATGTGGGCATGTTGATTGTCTCTTAGCCTGTGCCAGGCACTGTACTGTTTGTGAATGCTCTCATATTTAGTTGCCACACCAGCCTCGTTTATTTCCCCAGGAGTCAGCAACTGCCTCCCTGAGGTACTGAGGGCAGGTCTTATCAGTACTGTTTTTTATTTAATTTAATTTAATTTTATTTTATTTATGTATTGTGTATACAGTCTTCTGCCTGCATGCCAGCGGAGGGCACCAGATCTCATTCAAGGTGGTTGTGAGCCACCATGTGGTTGCCGGGAATTGAACTCAGGACCTCCAGAAGAACAGTCAGTGCTCTTAACCACTGAGCCATCTCTCCAGCCCCTCACTACTGTTTTAAACATCAGGAGACAGTAAGCTCCTTTCTGGATGTCAGAACCGAAGACCAGGCTCAAATAGATAGACTCCGAGGCTGGGCTCTTTCTCTTTCTCCCTGAGCCATGTTCTGGTTCAAAACACCTGGGGAAATGAAGAGCTGGAAAGCAGCAGTGTCAACAGCCAGAAGCTGACTAGCAAAGGGAACATCAGTTAGCTTGCCTCAGGACACCAGGAAATGAGCAGTGACTCAGAGGACAAGCTCTGTCCCCCAGGTCCAGAGTGCTCCCTGGGAAGTATTGCAGGTCCCCCGGCTCTCTTACAGTGTCCCTCCTTTCCTTGGGTGCCAGGCAGCAGCAGTGCTGTCCCGAGAGCAGCACACACATTAGCTTATTTAAATACCACCGCAGTCCTCCACGGAAGCCTTTGCAAAGCTCTCTTTTGAGCGGAGGAAGCTGAGGCACAGAGAGGGTTAAAGCCTTTTTGAGATTTACAAGCAGGTAATCTAAGGACCAGGCTTCTGCTACCTGGCTCGGAGTCACACTCTGCTACTTCTGCCTTTCTTGTATCTCTTAGTCTTTCTTAGATGACTTGTCTCTTTTCCAGTGGCCCCAGATTCTCCCCATTCTTGCTTCCTTGTGACCACCCCGAGTCCTGACTTCGTACTAGAAGGTTCTACCTGAAAGTCTTCCTGGTACCCCACCTCAGTCTGGTCCTTATTAGTTGACTGCATGCTCTTTAGCCTCCCTACCGCGGCCCTGGAATGTGTTAGGAATTAACGTTGTGAAAGGTGACAGAAGGTCCCTGTTTCTTTGTGCTTCCTTGCGGGATGGATAGTGTGGGAGTTATGAAAAAGAGCCATGTGACAAGATGTTCAATTGGGAGGTCCTGGCCTAAGGAACAGCTAGGCCTCCGAGACGTGTTTGAAGGTGGAAGCGCCCAAAGCTGACAAATGTGAGTGAGAGCTGAGAGCAGAGGCCAGATGTTGACAGTTGTGGGGAACTTGCCCAGGAGTGGGGAGAGGTGACAAGAGGTTTAGTGCATGCCTGTCACAGGAAGTGACTTACATTTTATTAAGGATTCGTGCTCTTCAGCACTGGCTGTTTCCCCCTCTAGTGGGTCCCCTTATCCTGTTCTTCAGGCTACAGATCTCACTGTCTTCAACTGCTACCCACTGCTTCTGTCCCCTGGCCGGCCATTAGGTCCTGGCAATTTGACTTCCCCAGGATGTCTCAGATTCCTGCCTTTGCCGGCATAGTTGGAGCCCATGTTTATCTCCCATTTGTAGCATTTTGGCATTGTCCTGATAGGTGCCCTCCAGTGCCGTCAGAACCATTCTTTTTAGAATTGTGTTCAGTGTGTACCTCTTTTTTTTTTTGTTTTTGTTTTATGAGACAGGGTTTCTCTGTATTGTTTTGGAGGCTGTTGGTCTAGCCCGGCCTTGAACTCACAGAGATCCGCTTGCCTCTGCCTCCCCGAGTGCTGGGATTAAAGGCGTGCGCCCCCACGCCTGGCCCAGTGTGTACCCCTTTGCTTTGTTCATTTTG